AAATTAATTTTATTGAGAAACAAATAGCAATGAGATGGTTTCAAAACAGGTTAGTAGGAGAGTTACAATAATTCTTACATTGCATATTGTTGTCTTCATAGTAGTTATTCATAGTACAGATGCAGACATGATATCCTGTCCAAACACTATTAGTAAAAATCTATATTCTCACTGAGTTAAGAGAAAGTAGCTGAATATCTATCCTGTTTTGTATATACCAATACAAAATGGTCCTTCATTTATGTCCACGTTTTCTGTTCAGTTTTGTCAGAGATGGGTATTCCATTGCCATTTAAATATTGTAGGTGCATTAATTCAGCAAAATAATCTAACATAGTCCAGAAGTCCCTAATAGTAGTCAGAAGTCAACAACTTCTGACAATGGGATGCTTTTGTTCAGTGCCTCTCCATACCATGATTGAAATGTCTCAGAATGGGGCTGCAATCAAAGACTCACCTTACTCCCTCTTTTCTCTTCTCTTTGGAGCAGTCACATGTAGATCCAGATCAGGAGATTTGCCTTACCTTGTATAGATTCTTCTTTTCAATCATTCAAGATTTTATTCTTTTCAATCAAGCAAGATAAATAGCTTGCACCTGATCAGCATTGCAGCGATCATCTGCTTTGGTCCACTTTTCAGAGGACTTAAACTTGAGAGTATTGGGAAAATTTTGATGATGTTTTGGGATTGGATGTACTAACTGTGAGATACTTAATGGACATTTGTTGAACAGCTGCAGAAAGTGAATGGAAATAGAAACAGACATGGAACTTTGGGAATTGCCTATCAGTAATATTTAAGTCATGAAATGAGGTTATTTTATCAAGAGGGCAGAATCAATGGAGAGCAGAAAGGGATTGCAGAGTAAGCCATGTGTGTTTACCTTGACCAGAAAGATGGCTGACCAGTGAAGCAGAGGCAACATTAGAAGACTGTGAAGAGTGAGGTCAAGCAAAGGAGCATTGTAAATAAGGGCCTGCAACTAACCTTGCAAAATATTGTTGACGGACTGAGCAACATGAATTTCAACTCCAGGCATTGGGTTTAACAATAACAGGGCCACTGCTGACAGTAATAACAACCTTGTAGGATGGTAGAGATGGGTTCATGGGCTTGAGTAGATTTTCAAGGAAGGGTGGGAAAGAGTTGATACAGAAATGAAGAGACGAGGAGAGAAAATGCTCTCATGTTTTGCCATGGAGGAGAGTAGGCCATTTTCTGTTTTCTAGAGAATGATAGAGACTCAGTTTCTTTGCTTAGTTTTTTTTTTCCTTTCAATTATTTTGAGATGGAAAAATGAATCATCCATGTATGTTGATGGAAATTTTCAAAAGAGAGGGAGATAAAGGAAGGCCTGGCAGCAGAGAAAAGAGACTTTCTGAAGCATTGTCTCCAAGAGTTGGAGAAAAGAGTGGGTTGGAAAGTTCAACCCATGTAATGAGGAAAGGCAGAGTGAAGAGGCACAGATGGAAGTAGGTGGATAAATGTGGGTGCTGCTTCCTGTAGAGAATCTCTTACATCATTTAATTTTCCCAGTGAAAGAGGAATCAACATGCGGCGTTAGAGGTTTCCTTTTATTTTGAAAGTGAATGGACTCAGGAACTGCATTATGATTGCCTGGCGGCATGAAGAACCCAAATGGGTTTGGAGAGATGAATATAAAATGAGAGCAATCAGAATGTGTTGTGCAGTTTTCTGACACAGTAATTGGCTCTAGAAGAGCAGGCAGAGGTAGCCTTTGGATTGGATTTAGTTAGGGTTAGGGTATGGCCAATTGGTCATCAGAAAGAAGGAGAAAATCGAAGGTCAGTGGAGAAAGGTGGGTGATCAGGAAATAGATTATGATATAAGGAAGTGGGGTCATGGGAATGATTAGTATCCAGATCATTCCATTAGTCCTGAAGACTTACCATGTAAACAAACACCAGTGGGGCTTGTGAGTGAAGCTCTCCCTATGAGATATTTTCCACAGATATGTCATCCTGGCTTGGGGGTGCTCAGGCACGACAGTGCTTTGGGAAGGAAACTCATCAGGGTAGCCATAGAAATACACTATTGTTCAGCCAACCAACCAATTTTCCCCTTTTGATCCAAACTGGAGGATTAATAAAACAGATATTCATGGCCAATTTTTCAAAAGAAGCTTTTCATGTCAAGATATATCAGTAACTATCTGAAAAAATAGTGAGATTCCCACATGACAATACAGTGCTTAGATAACTTGGGTAAGAGTATATATTTTCTTTATGAACTAGTCCAAAGATTCTAAGAAGAGTAAAAATTTCACACTGAAATATAGAACTGTCATATATGTCCTTTGTTTTTAGAACTGATATTTATACCTTAGTGAACTATTGTGTGAATTGCATATTATCTTAATATTACTTTCCATTAAAATGATAAGTGTAAGAATTCTTCATGTGTGTTGGGGATGGGGAGATAGAATATGAGTGTGATGTGGTTCCTGTTAGGAGAGTTTCCAATAATTTGCTCTTCTGCAGTACTCAAGATTGTGCATTCAGAAGTTTTTAATTAGTGTTCTCTAAATAACTTAGAAAAGACAAGAATTCCATTGTTTAATATTTCTATATAAATTAAATTGCATTTTCTTAGAATAATTCTTAGATTGTGAACAATTTTTAGTATTTTTTAAATGGTGGACTATAAAATTCCTTATTGTTATGTAAATTAAATATGATTTGCTTGTAGATATAACCACTAAATAAGCACATTGATATTTCATATAACAGCAAAGTTGAGAAAACAATGATATTTTGGAACTTCTTTGAATGTCCATATCTTGCCAAATTTTATATGGATAACAAACTACATTTGTGTAGAATATGTTTAGGATCCTCTGTGAGAGGGCAAAAATATATGAATAAGTAACATACATATAATTATTCGTTTCAAAATTTCTAACTATTAATTATTCTAACAATACTTTTTCTTGTCCAATAACTAAGCTGTCATAACTAACTTTTAAAAGCACCATTCTATCTCTGAGAATAATCTGATGATTTTCTTAAGGCATAGTAAACCTTGTCATCCACAAGGAGCTGTCTTGCCTATTCTGGAATAAATTCCTACTCAAAGGCTGTGGGAAGAATAAAATTTATAGTGTGGCTTTTGGAATTTCACTTCCCAAGTCAAGTAGATTGATGTTCAGTCCTGATTTTTGGACTTGTACGGTATATGAATTTAGGCAAATGTATATATTTTAATATCTCAGTTTTGACGTCTCCTACAAGCCTTAAACAGAACATGAACCAATCAGGATTTAGTCTTGTTTAACAAAGAATCACAAGTCCCTACCATTCAGAGGAATGCTAAATTAAAACTTTTGAATTATTAAATTTACAATATATACATTTAGAGGAATTTAAGACTGTAATGCATAAAACTGAGATATCTTCAGGATAAGGTGATACAATACTTGATGAGCACAGAGGACAGTACTGAAGCAGGTTAACTGGTGTCACGAAAGAAAGCTCTAGAGAAGCCAGGGAAAGTTTGTCTTCTGTATCTAATTTCTACTTCCCCTTCAGTGTGAGTGGGGCTTATAGTAGGACTGGTGGCCCTAGGCCATGCCTTCCTTCGCATGCATGTCTATGTGTAAGATGTGTGCTAATACCCATATCTTCTAATATTCAGGAGAAGTTCAAGCAAGTCACATAAATGAAAATAATTTCAACTTTAATCTAAAACTCGTGCCACCAATGGAACAGTCTTCCAGAGCTCAAGGTGGCATACCTGAAAATAGGAGGTAGTACCTGTGATATTTCATTGCTTTTTAAGATATATCTTATATGGTACCTGTTCAAAATCTGGTTGCATTTTACAATTTACCGCATCTGACAATGAATTGGCATCTCCTTCTTGATATTTCATAATGTAGATGGTGTCTAAAATATAGTTGAGGAAATACGTTATGGCCATGTAGTGAAGTGACGATTTTCAAGGGTTATCATCCCCATTCTCAGCAAGAAGCCTTCTAGGCACTTTCATAAGATTCTTCTTCATGAAATTTTAATGTGATGGATATTTTGTATATATGTATTTTTTCCATATTGAATTTATATCTATGTTTTATTCAGAAGAAGAAAAAATACACCCCCAAGATCTAATTTTTTTCTCATGAGATTGCATACACTGATGGAGCAGACACTGAAAGTGCGTACAGTGACTGAACAAAGAGGTGCAGTCCTTGTTATTATTTTATAAAAATCTTTTCTAGAATATTTGCAATCATAAGCTCACTCTTTAGAGGTTTTGGCTTTAATTATGTAACAGAATGCCTAGGAATTTTATTATTATCATGAATGTCAAAATGTTGTCAGAATGCCTGCAAAGTTTGAACATTTGTTATTTACCCCAACAATCAGAAATCTATCCATAATATTTTTTGTTAGGAAATTAAAGATCCACAAGTTCATCCAATGATGTCATTCAACATATCCTTGTTTTATGAAATAAGACTATTTAATAATCTTTGCTCATAAGTTGAGGATGTTTGCAATTTCACTTCTACATATTCAAAATTTTAAAGACATAATGTAAATAAAATATCTATAATGAGATGTCTTAAAGCGAACTCAATTTTCATGAAGAACTAGGATATAAACTGTTTCTACTTCACATGCCATACTCAGTTAGGAGAAGGAAGCCTGGGATTCTAGAATCCTGCAAACTCACCCTTTGTGAGCTAAACAGTTTGGGGACTCTCACCTCTAGTGGTAAGTGTGGGAGGCAGATTGTGAGTAGTGATTTGCACCATGTGGAAGACAGGGACACAATCTGTGACCCCCAAAGTCAGGTTTTTTTCTCCCAAAGCTCTTGTTACACCTAAGAACCTAAAATAATAGGGAAAGGAGTAATTTGCCCAGAGAACATCTTTAAGCAGCAAAGATATTCTGAGCATTCTAAACTGTTCAGTTGTCTTATGTCTGGATGGGCAGTTTAACATCCATTTAAAAAAATGAGTGGTGCAAAATACTTTCTAAAAGTAGTGACATATATGAAACTTTTAACTATATGGTATGTATTGCAATAATATTATTTCATATTTGACAAATCATACATCTATAAATTGTCCCAATTATATTTGATTATGCTAATTGAATATTTTGAGACTTAGATGGATCAAAACTGATGTGCAATTGCTATGGGGGTATGAAATATTCTACCAGGCCAAGTAATACATCATGAAATATGAAATAGATAGAACTCAGAAGGTTCCTCACCGGCAATGCAAATGTCCACAGCAAGGATTTATCAACTGAGTTCATTGTACACAGCTTTTGGAAATCAATTGGAAACAAATTTAAAACCAGAAATCATCACCCCCGCTGCTTCTGGTACTTGCCCTTTCTCTGCCTTTTAAGCGAAGCATCTCCATGATACTCCGGGCATAGACATCTCTCAGGTTAACACTGATGTATGAGTCAGTGGCTATATTCTTGGTGAGCTTCTTCAGAGCTTCCCGTTGTCTAGCAGCTGCTTCTTTGAGTTTCAATGTGAAATAGCAGGCAGAGAAGCGGTCGTTAATGATAGCAATAGGCAAGGCCAAGACAAGAATTCCCGATAATATACACATGAAGGCCACAATCTTTCCAGTAGTGGTGTCTGGCCTAATGTCCCCATATCCCACAGTAGTCATGGATGTAGTGGCCCACCACCACGCACAAGGGACACTTGTGAAGGTTGTGTCAGGAATGCTTTGCTCTGCAAAATATTCAATAGTTGAAAATATAGAAATTCCCACAGATAGAAATAGAAGCAGTAGGCCAACTTCCTCGTAGCACTGGGTGATGGTCATGCCAAGGGAGCGTAATCCTGCAAGAGAACACCTTCGGTCAGTCACCGTCATCAGCAGTACCTCTCCCTTCTCCCTGCCCCCTCCACTTCAGGTGTGTCCAGCTACAGACATGCGCTACACAGCTAGGTTTGTCTCAGACACCAGGCAACATCCTGGAGACAGAAAGATGATTAAACCAGAATCCCTGTCTTCAAGAGGTGGATAATCTAGGTGAGGAGACTGGTTTCAGAGGATAGAGAAAATGTAATTCGTGCATGTAATTTTTGAAATTATATGACTCATTATTTAAAGGTGAGTTATTTCTAACAGGCAGCTGAGGGTGTCTACTAGGAATTTTGTACTTTTAGCAGAAGGTCTTTGTAGTGTTACAGACAGAGATCTCAGCTGGTCAAACCTGAATTTCAATGCCTCATTTTAGTACTTCATTCTAATATTAGCTTTATTTTGTCTTCTCCTATTTATGTATCTGCTTTTCTCATTTACCTGATAAGGTTTAGCATACATGGCCGCCTCATTTCCTGAGAGGCTGAGGAAGCAAAGTGTGCTTGCCGTGGCAATGCAGTAAGGCAGCCCAAAGAAGTTAGGCGGTGAGGACAAAAGTGATGTGTGGATGTGGGGACATCCTTAATTATGTATCTGGAGAAGAGCCCTGAAGCCCCAGGACCACTGGAAGTCCTAGCACTTAACACCAAAGCTACGGGGAATGATCTTCCTCATAAGAAGCTATAGAAGAATGCAGGCAGCTCCTCTGCAGAAGCATGTGGGAATGGAACCATTGGGGAATTCACTCACTATGAGTCCTGGCTGGAGCTCCCAAAGAGACTCAGCCCTAAGGAGAGGAGCACACTAAAAACTAAACTAAAATTTGAACTAACTATTGGCTGCTAAAAGCTTATCTACATTGTGAAATGATAACAATGACATTGCTTCAGGAATCCAAAGCAATACTCCTTAGCACCATCTTCAAGTTGGTATTCATTTGCTAGAGGTTATTTTAAATGCATTATAATATTGTTCAGGTTCTCCTGATTTTGGATTTTGCACTTCAAATTTTGAAATCTTCTTGCATATATAACAAGCTGTTTTTAAAGACCAATATATGTTTATTTTGCTACTTACCTTTAAAAGAATACCTTTTTTTTAATAACTTTCAGAATACTTTTAAAATTTATAAAACTAGCCTTCATGTGTCTATATGGAATGGTATTTATGAAATAAATTCATAATAGGTAAGAAGCGTAATGTTTATCTGGGTAGATGAACTATTCTGAACATTTTTTAAACAAACATAAAAAGGGGTCATATGTCTAGCCTGTTACATCTATTAATTCAGATACTCCTCAAAAGCCAGTATAAGACCGATATCATTCACTATCACTTTACAAATGAGGCAGGTGAGGCCCTGGAATTAGCTCATCTAGTCCAAAGCTACAAGGCCTGAATTTAAGTCTAGCCTGCCTGACCCCCTACCTAGCATTCTATAGCATCTCTCAAATTTTATTCACAATTAATGCATGAGGGGAGCCAGTGTCTATGTCTGTATTTTACTATATCTTGTGCTTGAGGTACAATGATCATAGAAACATATGACTGTGATATATTTTCACTAAATTAAGGCTTGTATAATCTTTTATACTCATTTAGAAATGAGAAAACGTTGAAGAGGTAGCAGAGGAAATTATAGTTATTTTCCTTTTCCTTTCATTTGGGAAAAAAAATGTACTCTTTGCTGGGTGCTTTTAAAATTGAATCTTGTGAAGAGTTTATAAATACCCAAAGAAAGCATCCTATTATGTGTGTCAGGAAAATAAAGAGTAGTACTTATAAAACTTGTTGGAAACCCCTTTATCATGGCATGAGAGACTAGCTGGAAAAGTATACTACCAAAATTATATTAGGGTACCTTCTAATTACCACAAAGATGTAGAAAAACACAGAAGTTAATTTCTCCCTACATTTATAGGGAGACACAGCTACCATCACCCTGTTGAGGTGTCCAGTCAGGGACATGGCTAAGGAGATGAAGCGAGACACGGGACCTCCAGCCAACTCGTTGGTACCAATATATATTTGTATGCGCTAGATATGGTAACTACTTCTGGGTGGTCCAGGAATGACCTCCATCAAAATTAATTGTAATCAAAATGCTCCTGGATTTAGCCTCAACGCTAAAATCCAATGTGCTGTGCGTTGGCACTCACAGTCTGCATTTCAATAAGTTTGTCAGGGCATTTTCATTTTTCTCAACGTCTGATATAAAACAAATCATATGTCACTCTAGAATAATTGGCAGCTGAAGGGACAGCCACTGAGACTCACTCCCTCAGGGATTTGTCTTTAATCCATCTGTATGTTTTCCGTTGATGATGACTACAAGTCTTATGTACAGTTAGGTGTGTGCAAGTGTAGCTGTTGTGTTGAAGTCTTGTTTCTCTATAGAATGGACATTTGACTTTCAGAGTCTTCCACATATAAAATGAAAAGCTAGAGAATTTCCATTCTCCTCCCAAATATCTTACATAGTTTAGGAACAAGAAAATTCTCCAAAGCTGGATAAAGCATTAGTTAATGTCTTCTCATTCTTGCAAAGCAAAATATTTCCATTGCTTCTTCAACAGTTGTAGGGAGGCCATTAGCACTTGGCCTCTCCCCATAGAATCAGGGAAAGTGCTGCAGGGTTGATTTTGTTGTTAGCCAAAGAATACACAGAGTGAGCATGCACTTAGATATAGAAGACAAGTTTATGACCCTATAGCTCACAGCATGTATGTGTATCATCTCCTATGTCATTTATGCACATTTTATCGACCCTGGTTTCCAAAGACATTGAAATAAATAAATGATCAGAATAGACTCCCATGTCTTATAGAAAGAAAGGACATGAGAGACATCTCTAGACTTGTGATAACATCTTCCTCATACCATTTTAGCAGTCCTGATTGGGTAAAGCAGGAAAATTGGTAATTTTGAGTATAATTCATAGCCACTTTTCCAAACTACTGCCAAATCAGTAATACTTACTAAGGATTCGAGATTAGTCAGGTCACTAACTCTTACACATGAAAAGGTGTCAATGAGTTCTGAATACCTGTGGAGTGCCTGCCCAGCTTTAGCATGCGCAGCGCCCTGAGTAGCCTCAGAACCTGGACTAGGCGCCCCACGTTTTCCAGCTCCTGTGTGGTCTCACTGCCGCTCAGGCTTTCCACCAGTAGGGTGATGTAGAAGGGCAGGATGGCGAGCAGGTCGATGATGTTGGGCACTTTCCTCAGGAAGCGACACCTGTCCCGCACACACAGGAAACGCAGGACAAACTCCCCAGTGAACCAGCTAATGCACACATACTCCAGGATTTCTAGCAGCGGCAGGTTCAGCCAGCTGAACTCCGCTGACATCAGGGCCATATTGACGATGGACACAACCACGAAGATGATGGAGATGACCCCAAAGATCCGGGCGGCTGTGGAGGACCCAGGCTTCTCCAGGATATCCCAGAGCTTCTGGCGCACAGTGGGACAAGGGCCTTGCGAGAAGTCCTGCTCACTCTCATGCTGACTTTCCTGGTCGTCTGCGTCCTTCTTAAAGTCTAGAGTCTCGCTCAGCTCCTTTCTTCGGAAGTATCTTTTGGAAAAGACAGTTTGGTGATTAATTCAACTTTTAAAAATACGGACACAGATGAGAATAAACTTGAGTGGAAGATTTCTTTTATTTTAAGAAAATGAAGAAAATGTCTACTTACATTTTACCCAGGTCTAGTTTTTCCTGTTTTGAAATATTCTCACCCACAATCACGATGTTTAAAATGCCACTTGCTCAGTAGCAATGTATGGAAAAGGACTTACACGTGATAGCCATTTTGGACCAAAGCATCTTGTTACCCATTTTCTGGTAACAGGGACAGGTGTCTGTCATATGCAAGTTTTTAATTATAAAAGGGTGTTCATAAAGAAATGGTAGTATTGTCAAGAAAACAGTGACATTACCATCCAGAGCCCACAATCATTCAGTCAAGAAATCTACTTTCTTCAGCGTTTAAAATAGTCCTCTGCCAAACTTTTTGCAAGGCAGTGTCCCAGGCTAATAAAGAACCCCGCACTTCCAAACCCCCTTCCCTGGACAAGTATCTTCTGAAGCGCAACTTCTCTGATTTATTTATTCAGCGACCAAATATATATTCATGGCAAGTCTGAACTCTTCTTTTACAAAAAAAGTGGTTTACCCATGTGCACAAAAGGGAGAAAAAGATTTAAAAAGTGGGACTGAGAAGTTGGCTTTGAGGCTTTCTGACCCCACACTCAGACCCCTGCTTCCCTGGAGCAGCGGTGGCCACACCTTCCCTGCCTGGCTCGGCCTCCGGGACCTGGTCTGCTCCTCCCGCCAGCCAGCCAGCCAGCCCCGATGCCCTCGCGGTACCTGTCCCTGCAGCAGGAGTCGATGCTGAGCTCGTCGATGCCCCAGTACTGGATCTCCTGGAGGAAGGACAGCGCGCACAGCTGCTCCATGACGTGCAGGCGGCCGGTGCGGTAGTAGTGAAGGACATAGCGAAAGGCCTGCGAGCTGCGGTCGAAGAAGTACTCGTTGTCCACGGGGTTGGCGTCGTCGCAGAGCTCCAGGGGGCTGGGTGCTGCGGCCAGGGCTCCCAGGCGGCGGTAGGAGGCCACCACCACGGCCAGCTTGCCCAGGCGCGTGTGCGGGAAGCAGGACAGCGCCTGCTGCGAGAGCACGAAGCGGCTGCCGCCCACGTTGACCGTGAAGCAGTCCCCGAGCGCCAGGGGCTCCCCTTCGCCCTCGCTGCAGAAGACGCTGGAGTCCAGAGAGGTTAGGGAGCTGCTGGACAGCGGGGAGCCGGGCGGCGCCCGGCCGCGGGGAGGCAGCTCCATGCAGATCGGTGGTGCCTGGGAGCGCGCCAGGGCTGGAACGCGTGGAGGCCGTGGCGTGGCGCCCGGGCTGTCGGGAGCTCCCAGGCTCCCGAGGGAGCGGCCTCCCACCTGCGCTCCCCGGCTTTCTCCGCCCAGTGGTTAGCTTGCCCTAGCGTCGCTAGGGAACCGCTCGAGGGGTGCTGCGAGGAGGCTGCAAGCAGATCCCGGACCTGGACCTGGACAGCCCGTAGAGCTGCACCTTAGACCCCGCCCAGGAACGCACGGTTCGAGTCTTGCTGGCCCGTGGATGACAGACTGCACGGGGAAGGACAGGACCGAAGCTCTGCAGGGTGGGAAGAGGAGGAGGAGAAAGAGGAGGGAGCAAGGGGAAAGGTGACACGCACTCCTGCCGCCGCCGCTGGGAGCCCCCAATTAAAAGTTAAGGAAGACCTAGAAACGGTGAGGTCTGGGTCATGTCTAACTTGCGTCCTAGGGTGCTCGCTGGGGTGTGAACACGTGGGGACAGTTTCCTTCTGCTGCTCTGACTCCAGCCCGATTGTCACCTCCCCCACCGCCCCCAGCCCTTAGATGCTGACCTCCTAGAAGAGAAATAGGCTAATTCACGCCTGTTAACTTGAGCCCCGGGGCGCCCCTAGCCCTGGAGGTCCCTGGCCTACTCCCACGCCCGGTGGTGTCGTCGCCCTTAGAGACACCATGCCCCCATCCTAAGCTCCCGGGGGCCGGGGCCCCCAGAGCGCGTTCTCCAGCACACAGCACAGCTCTCATTTTAGGAAAAGGGGAGACTGGAGGAAAAAGATTACAACAGGCGTGGGTTGGAGCAGGAGTTTAAGTTACAGCGACCCGTCAGTAAAAGGAGAGGCTGGAGAACCAGTGCCCTAGTGAGAGCAGAGCGGCCCACAGGGCCTCCTGGGCCGGTGCCTGGGCCAACCTGTTGGCCGCTGGGCAGGTGGGAGGGAGGAGCACGCACTCACCTGCAGCTCCTGCTGGCTGCTTCAGCTCCGGACTTGGCGATGGTGCCGCCTTCCTTTGGTTCTCCTGGTCCACACGTGAGTCTGGCTTCACTGTTCCAGAGGAAGCTGCTCACAGCCCAGCTCTTTGCCAGCACTCGTTCCTCTCTGCTGCGCCTCCACCGCCTCCAACCTCCGGGCCTCTAGGCTCCGCTGAGCGTGCCGCCCCCGGCCCAGCGCTGGGAGTCACCGCCTGGAGGTTCCCAGCTCCCGCTGAGAGGGTGTAAGGAGCAGAGGGAGGGAGTGAAACCGAGGGAGGGTTGGGCTCATTCAGTGACACTGGAGGTTACAGTCATCCGAAAGACACTTAAAGCGCGATTGCATCTCATTCCGTTCACCTCCTCAGTATGTGTTCACGCAAATGCCCAGAAATGTGCAAACCGCGCCGTGCAAGCACTTGGGCTGACCGCAGGTCACCGACTGCGTTGTGAGGCGTGGACCAGGCTTTCTCATTATTTCCAGCAAACATCTAAGAATCCTGCCTTTACAAGTCTCTGGCACAGAGAATGAGCCACAGGCACCTGTGTTTTCCACAAGATGCTTCTAGAAGATATCCGTGTAGAAGGAGCAGGCCAGCAGGATGCAGGGGAAGGTCTTCATCAATCAGTGGATGAGTTTGGCTTTGGCTTTGCCACCTGACCGTGGGGCCCACAAAGGCCACCGACTTCATGGACCTCAATGCTTTAGCAAAATTTCCAGTTTCCATGAAAACTTTAGACATTTACTGGGCCCTAACTTTACACCAGGAAACCTATAGGTTCTTTACTGATGCAGTACTTTATTTAACAGTAATAGGAGCTTATCTTAGACACCAAGAAACCGAGCCTCAGGAATGAAGCGATAAACTTAGATTCATATGATACAAATTCAAAGCCAGGACCAAATATGAGAGGCTGCTTTCATAGGCAAAATGCTTGAAACTTACTATATTGTCAGTCAACTATTTTGTTGCTCCTTAATTAAAATGTGATTGAATTATTTTCTTTTGAATTTTTCTAAAAATGAATGATAGTCTAATGAGATATCAGGCAATCATAGTTTAACATGTTGAAGATACATGAGTCAAGAAAAAGGATCCCTGTTTTAGTTATCCTGTGAGAACAAAAGGACCACTTCAATGACACATTTTTGAAATTGTAATTATATGGGTCAGCTTTCTATCCCTGGGACAAAATGCCTATCACCTATAACATAAAAGAGGAGAAGAAATGGTTTATTTGGCTTCTGGTGCCAGAGAGTTTAGTCCATGGATGCTGACTCCGGCGCAGGAACACTGGGCTGGAGGACTGCTCACTTACTGACCCCAGCAGAGAGCAGGGAAAGAGCACCGGAACAGAAAGGTTCTCAAAGTTGCATCCCCATGGCCCACCAAGAACACCCATGGTGTGCTTTCCTAATCCCCTAGGCTGCAAGACGAGCTATCACATAATGTTCTTAAACTATGGCTGTGTTGATACAGCTGTCCCTTCAGTTAATGCCCATCTCTACAAAGAAGTCTTCCATCTGGCAACTGTGGAGAGGTTAAAATGACTCCAGTAAATCGTTTACCATTATATGTAGGCACTTTTTCTTAAGGAAATAGAGCTTTCCTTGACACTAACTGCAACGCTCCAATACCTTAATTACAGCTAATTTAGGCAATGAAAAAGACTAAAGCTCACTGCTCTGTTAAGACTTACATGCATCATGATTAGTGATAAGAGTCTACACTAACGTTAAAGATAACAGTCGGAAAGAAGGAAAAACCTTTATTTGTTTAGTTATTTCTGTCTATCAGTACACAGTTGCAGAATGTGATGTGCAAATCCCTCATGGGGTATGTAGCTGGCATGTGTGCATAGTGTGCCTCACTGCCTGTCCAGCACCTTTCCCTCCCTTCCACTTCCCTCCATCACTTGATCCCTTTCTCTTTCAAGAAAGATCTATCTCCCTACTTCCTACGATCTTAAGTGTTGCTCTTTATTGATATTTTAGGCTTCTCATTATAAGAGAAATAAGATAACATTTACATTTGGGTACCTGACTTATTTTATTGAACATCCTGATCTCGGGGTGCTTCTGTTTTCCTACAAATGAGCCAAGTTTATCTTTCTTGATGGCAGAGTAATACTCCACTGTATATAAATTTAGTCCATTTTCTTTATCCATCTATCTGTTGGTGGACAAATGGGCTGCCTCCAAGGTGCAGCTATTGTGAATTGTCTTGTTGTATGTATGGGTATGTGTGTATTGCTGTAATATAATGTTTTTAATTCTTTTGGGATGGTACCTAGAAGGAGAATAGCTGGGTCAAATGGAACTTTCAGTTTTAGTTTTATGAGGAGTCAGGAGAACAATAACTTTAGATGAAGAGGGAGATCTTAGGTGAGCAGAGGTGTGTGCAAGTGACTGAGGCTTTCAGGTTTTCCCTACTGCCTCAGATCCTGGCCTCTGTTGTGCTGACAGGTGAAGACGTTATTATGGCAATAGCTAATGTTTAAGTGTTAGCCCCCATGCTAAGCATCTGTGATCTCACAATGATTCTTAAGTCAGCATTGCCACCCTGCGTTATAGATTTTTGCTCAGATCTGGAAAATCACTAAGTAATTACATTCCAGTGTCCACAGAGAGTATAAAAGTGGTGCATAGAGTACCTGAATCTGGAATATTGCTGACTCCAGATTCTACTTCAGCTGTTCTTTTTTTCTGTTTGATTGTTTGTCGTTTCTTTGTTTATTTGTTTTTTTATATTTAGGACAGGTCTACAGGATCCATAGGGACTCACTGTGTAGATCGGACTCATAGTGATCCTCCTGTTTACAGCCTCCCAAATGCTGAGATTACAGGCGCGCACCACCATGCCCACTTTCAATTGCCATCTCAGGGCACCCTGGGGGCAGAGTCAGTG